GAATCAAGAAGCTCCTTACCACACAACCGATCATTCAACCTCCGAATTGGACACTTCCATTCGAGTTGATGTGTGACGCCAGTGACACAGCCGTAGGGGAAGTTCTTAGACAGCGAGATGGCAAGATTCCTTATGCAATCTACTATGCATCGAACGCGCTTAATGGAGCCCAATTGAACTATTCAACAACTAAAAAAGAACTCATTGCTCTGTTTTTTGCATTAGAAAAATTCAAATCTTATTTATTGGGCACTAAAGTAATTGTTTTCTCTGATCATGCAGCACTAAAGTTTTTAATGGAGAAAAATGAGAGCAAACCAAGACTCATTCAATGGGTGCTGCTGTTACAAGAGTTTGACTTTGAAATACACGATAAAAAGGGCTCCGAAAATTGTATAGCCGATCATCTGAGCCGATTATCAAATACTCAAGGAGATCTGCACTTGAAGGATTATTTTCCCGATGAACAGTTACTTGCAGCAGTCTCCTCGATTCCCTAGTACGCTAATTTGGTTAATTATTTGGTTACTAATCAATTTCCTACATGATGGTCAAAGGCAAAAAGAGATAAACTCAAAAGCGATGCCAAATACTACTTTTGGGATGACCCTTACCTATGGAGAAGATGTGCCGACCAAATCATCCGAATGTGTGTCAATGAAGGTGAATATAATTTTATTTTAAAGTATTGTCACTCCTTGGAATGTGGAGGTCATTTTGGACCGCAACGAATTGCACGTAAGGTATTGGATAATGGATTTGATTGGCCAACTTTGTTTAAGGATGCACATAACTTTTGAAAATCTTGTGATAGATGTCAACGAGTAGGAAATATATCTTCTAAAAATCAAATGCCTCAAGCGCCTATGTTGTTTGTTGAGATCTTTGACGTGTGGAGCATTGATTTTATGGGTCCATTTCCTATTTCATATGGATTTTTATATATTATATTGGCAGTCGATTATGTCTCGAAATGGGTAGAAGCAAAAGCTACCTGAACTAACGATTCTAAAGTGGTTGCAGAGTTTCTCAAATCATCCATCTTTTCTCGATTTGGAATGCCAAGAGCCATCGTCAGTGATTGAGGCATGCACTTTTTCAACAAAACTATTTCTTCTTTGTTTCACAGATATGGGGTTTTGCATAAAGTGTCGACGTCGTATCATCCTCAAAAGAATGGCTAAGCTAAGGTCTCGAATAGGGAAATCAAAGGAATTTTGGAAAAGACGGTGAGACCGGACCGAAAAGATTGGAGTTTGCATTTAAAAGATGCTCTGCGGGCATATCGCACGGCATACAAGACACCGATTGGTATGTCTCCTTTTCCATTGGTTTTTGGTAAGCCATGCCACCTCCCAGTTGAAATCGAGCATCGATCGTATTGGGCAATTAAGATGTGCAATATGAATCTCAATGATGCGGGAGCCTATAGAAAGTTGCAATTACAAGAGTTGGAGGAAATTCGTAATGAGGCATACGAGAGTGTTGCGATTTACAAGGAAAAAAATAAGGCCCTACATAATCAACACATCATGCGAAAAGAATTTTCGATTGGACAGAAAGTCCTACTATATCAATCACGCTTGAAGCTTTTTCCAGGTAAGCTTCATTCTCGATGGATGGGTCTGTTTTTTGTGACTAATATATATGGCGCAGTGGAGATTCAAAGTTTAGCCACAAATTAAAAATTCGTAGTGGATGGACATCGAATCAAGCCTTATTATGAAAAATTTTTGAATGAGGAGGTGGAATGCATTACCCTTCTCAACTTGGATGATTGAATGGTGTCACTCGACTACGTTTAGCCAAAGACGTTAAAGAAATGCGCTTCTTGGAAGGCAACCCTAGTTTTCTAGCTTTATTTCTTTTATTTTCTTTAGTTTTTGTTTTTATTTTTTAAAACATCACCTATTTGAGTTGGATTCTTTATTTTTTGTAGGGAACTTCTTGGAGAATTTTGAAAAAAAAAACAGTCGTCTTTCTTCTTCTTCCTCACTAAGCTATCAATTTTGGTGTTGGCTAAAAGATACGCACAATCAGCTTGAAGAAGTTTGGAATCCAAAGCAAAAACATACAGTCGCACCAATCTTACGGACTCCAGGGAAGTTCCTCTCTTATTTTACTTTTTTTTTTTTACATTGAGGACAATGTTTGCTTTAGGTGTGGGGAGAGAGTAATGCAATTTTTTTGGGTGAATTTTTCATTTTGTGCGACTTTTTATGCCTGATTTTCTATCCTTTCGCATGTTTTTGAGATTTTTTTGAAGTGAGTCAAATGTGGTTTGTGTGATAGGTTAGTCTGACATGATTGATGACATTGGATTCGAAATATGTTGAGTCAGGTTGACATTTGAACCCTGTGAGAATTGGAGTATATATTCCAAAAAGCTTATGTTAGAAAATAAACTATATATTATAAAGCTTTTGGAAATTCTTTCTCGTGTGATTTGTAGTGCTCAATTAGATGACCTAGAACTTGAGTGATTATGCATGTTGAACTTGCAACAATCGAGTCTTGCATTTTGAAAATGATAAGGGCATTAGGTAACCCCATTAAGCCTTTCTTTATTACCTAGCACAATAATATTCCCCTAGTTAGCCCATTTGAGTCTTTTAGCCTATTTTTTCTTCTATGATAAACCGTCTTTTAGTCTCATACCCTTCTTTTGCTTAAGCCTTCTCCGATTTGAACCCTATGTTAGAAAGAATTACTTTAAGTTCATGTTGTGATGCACTTTATTTCTTCGGCACTGGTTAGAGACGACATTTGGGTACGAATAAGTTATAGTATGAAGGAATAATTATGGGTAGTGAAAGTATATATATATATATATAAAGACAAAAACAAAAAATAAATAAAGCAAAAATAAATAAAAATAAATAAATAATAAAATGATCATCTTGATGAAGTATTTTCGTTTAATTTCATTATTAAAGTTTGGGTAGTGAATAGAGTAAGGCTTTCATTGTTTATGTCGATTTGTTCTTCATGTGCTAGCATCGTGTTCTTAATGTATTCTTTTTTGACATACTTAACCGTTGTTATCCTTTTCCTACCCCTAACCATAAGCCTCGCTACAACTCTTATTGAAAGTTTCTTTGATTCTTTATGTTAGATTCAAATACTTTAAACAAGGGAGATTTGATTTTTACTCAAGCCTATAGGATAATCTTTTGTTGCATTACCTGAGTGTTGAGCCAATTATACACTTCATTCGTTCAAAGAGCATGTGCGAATACACTTTATCTTGTGAGGTTAACTTGGCTTGATGTGTTGGATTTTGGATTGAATTGGTTGTGTTGAATTTTCTTGTCATATTGAGTCGCCTGCGATTTCTTTTGGCCTGTTTCGAATTTATGCTTGAGGGCAAGCATGATCTAGGTGTGGGGAGATTCGATAGCCATAAATCGCATGCGTTAAATACTTATATTATTTGCGATATTTAGTTGATATTGATTATATTCTACCTGATTTGACATATATTATTTATTTATAATTTGCAGGAGAAAAATAATAAAATTGATATAATTAGTGGGAAAAAAGAACAAAAAGGTCCAAGGCCCAATTGTTACAAAATTAGTGCAAATATAAAGGAAAGAAAAAAAAGGGGGAGACACCACTTTATGCCACTTTCCGAGGAGAACACCGTGCAAAAGAGTCCCAAAGAGAAACCGTGTAAGGGCAAGAAGGAGAAAAATTCTGCCAAGAAGATTTCAAGTTTTATCCCTACCAACATCATTATGTTTCTCTTTGCTTCCATTTTCTTTGTTATTCCTCCTATGATTTGCGAATAGTTTACCTTTCTAGTATAGGAGTGGAAAACAACTTTGTATGGATTTCGGATTGAATTGGTTGTGTTGGATTTTCTTGTCATATTGAGTCGCCTGCGATTACTTTTGGCATGTTTCGAATTCATGCTTGAGGGCAAACATGATCTAGGTGTTGGGAGATTTGATAGCCATAAATCGCATGCGTTAAATATTTATATTATTTGCGATATTTAGTTCATTTTAATTAGATTCTACCTGATTTGACATATATTATTTATTTATAATTTGCAGGAGAAAAATAATAAAATTGATATAATTAGTGGGAAAAAAGAACAAAAAGGTCCAATGCCCAATTGTTACAAAATTATGGAAAATATAAAGGAAAGAAAGAAGGATGAGACACCACTTTATGCCACCGAGGAGAACACCGTGCAGAAAAGTCCCTGAGAGAAACCTTACAATTCACAAACTAAAAACTAATGAGTTCAAGCTCACCGACGAATTCCAATTTAAATTATACCCAAATTCAAAATAATTTAATTCCAATGACAATTACAGTTCTAAAATAAACATAGGGTGTGTTTGTTTGGAGGTTTGGATTTTGAGTTGAGATTTGAATAGTAAAAGTTTTTAAATTTGAATAATTGTATGATGTGATATAGAAGGTGTTGATGTGATGTTTTGAATGTAAAAAATAAAAAATAGATGTTTAATTTGATTTTTTTTTTTTTTTGGAAAAAATCGGAGAATAGTGTATTTAAAATCCAATCTCCAAACAAACACACCCATAATTAATAATCCGAAGTTAAAGGAGGAAAAATCTAATCCGAAGCCGCCCTCCAAATTTTCACAGTATTACTAATATGTTCATAGTTAAAGAAATTCGATAAAAATAGCAAAAGAAAGTTGAGTGGAGTAATACAACCTTTCCTTCCTTCGATGTTTACCATCTCTATATACAAGATGAATGATGGTGGGTTTGGAAGCAATCAGAATTGGGGAAGTGATGCGGGTGATTCTATCGTCTGCAGTTTCTTCGACAGGGCTGGACAAATTTTTGAGAAAAAAATAAAGGCTAATTTGATGATGAAAGAAGGTAATCGGAGGTAGTTTTTCACTAACAGCAACTGGAAGAACATTTGAAAATGGCTAGGACTACATTTGGCGGATCAATTAAGAAAAAAAAAAAAAAAAAAAAAAATTGGACGCCCACTCGGAAGAAGAAAGAGAAGAGAAAAAAAATGGGAAAGAAAAAAGGAAAATAAATATATAAATCAATTTCCTAAAATTCTGAAAGTTTTCTCCAAGTGCTTCCTTCAGATCCATTTAGAGGGGCCGCGGTTTTAATTTTTTCTGCGTCACAACCGTAGCCACTTGTTTGAATAGACCGGCGGATTCACTTGCACACCGCTCAGCTCAAATATGGGCTAAAGAAGATCAAGTCGCGGCTTCGCTTGCTGATGCCGCTCATTTCGGAGGGCTTCTTCGCTTCGCTAGCGCACAGAGATAAATGCTATCAAAAGACTTCACTGCTCGGTTAAGAGAGATTGACGCCGCTGGTGCAGACCGAATCGGGTGTCGCTTGCAGGAGGGGCTGGACGGCTTCCGTTGGCTGAAGACACCGCTCATTTTCCGTCGCCGCTCAAGAGGGCGCTGAGACAATTCAAACCACTGGTTCGAGCAGACCGGCCGGTTCGCTTGCGGATGAACTTCTCCGCTTCGATCTCCATCGCTGCAGCGGCGGCTAGGCTTCAATGATGAGCGGGATCACCGCTTGCGAGCGGTCATAACCATGGTTCGCCGGATCGTACGAGTCCGGTCCGACTCGGCCGATCGGGAGAAAAATCCGATATTTGTCATAGGATTTTCAAATACACACAAATCTTATCCAAAACTCATTCTTATTCATTCCTTTACCTATTTTCTTTTTCTCTCGGTCGCTGGCTTCTCCTCGTTGTTCCTGGCGGTGACGAAAAATAATTGCTCGGCTTCTGCTCTTTGTTCCTGTTGGTGGACAAGGTAAGTTTTGGGTATCTATAGTGTTGGGAATGTGGGTTTTAGCAATCATCTATGTGGTAGAGGGATTTGAGAAAAAAATTCGCCTGTGAAGAAAAATTGTTGGTATTGTGTAGAAAAAAAGTTAGCTTGGACGGGTATTGGATTTTATGGGAGGAAGAATAGTAGATTCCCCGTGAAAGAAAGACGCTTGGTAAATATATATATTATTATTTTAATTAATTTAAATTTTTTTAAATACTGTTTAAAATTAATTTTGTTCTATAATTTTTGAATTGAAATTAATGTTGTATTATTTTGATTGATTTATTTATTTAATTGATAAGTTTAATTATTTTGGATTGTATTTATTTTTATTTAATCTATATAAAGTAAGTTTTATTAAAATTAACTTTTTTTTATATATAAATTTAATAAATATATATTCTAAGTCTAAGTTTTACGAATTAGTTATTTAAGTTAAATCTTTGTATAAATTTGATTTATTAATAAAATAATATTTATAATTTGCCCAATTAACTAATAAGTTACTACTTATAAATATTTTAATAATTTTATTATTCAATTGCAGAGTTTGTGTAAAATGGCACCGCAAAAAGATATTGGTGGGATCATGCTACTCCTATAAACAACGATAGAAAGCATACAAAATGCAATTATTGTGGAAAAATTGTTCACGGTGGGATTATTAGGATGAAACAACATATAGCACATGTTACAGGTCAAGTTGAAGTGTGTACGAGAGCTCCAAAAGAAGTAAGAGAGTTACTAAAACAACACTTGATCCAAGGAAAAGGTATGCGAGCAGCAAATAAAAAAAAATTAGAAGTATTGCACAATTATATTCGTTTGGAAAATGATTCTGATGAGGAAGAAGATGAAATTTTTGAAATAAACGAAGATGAAGTAGATGCTTTTGAAAGAAAACAATTAAAAATAGCAATGGTTGAAAACAGAAATATGGAATTTATAGAGCAGCAGCGTAGACATTCTGTATCCGGAGATTTACCGAGTTTGAATTTAAAAGAAGATATATTTATTGAATTTTATAAAAAAATACATTTAATATTAGTATATTTATTTTGAAATAAAAATTATATATAATCATATATATTTTTTTATCTTTGTAGGAGGAAGCAGTTCGAATACAAAAGGAGCTAAAAGAACTTTTTTCGAAAGCTCTACGAGAAAGACCGTGGGGAAATTTGGTCGTCCCTTCACGGATCCGCCCAAGAACTATCGAAATACATTAGTGATGTTCTGAAATCCGCCATTCGGAACGAGTTTGCGCTGCTTCTGGAGGAAGAAACTCGAAAAAGTAAGGTCCGGAAGGTCGATTCGAGTGAGCCAGAGATTTGGCCTCCCGCGGGCCTTACAACCAGCTTCGCAGCAGATCCGAAATCCCAGGCACTTAAGTATGACCATATTACTCTGTTCGGTACGGATACCGGATCTGGAGGACCTCCGATCACCATCCAGAAGGTCGGAGAATCTCGAACGTCGTCCGGGCAGGCTTCCTTTGGGCCGCCTTCAACCGACGGATTTGTGACGACCTTCGGGCCAGTCCCATCAGTACCATATAAGCAAAATAATCCGTTAATTTCTGGAAATACTTTCAGCACCCTAGTCACCACTCCAGGCCTTCGAAAAAACCCAATGGCCGGACAAGAGACTTTCAATGCATGGGGGGGGCAGGGCTGACAGCGATACCAGCACTTTCCTTGGTCCCAAAGCCTTCTGGAATGACTTGGGAACCAGGAGGATCAGTCCTAACACCATCCCAATACACTGGGGGGCAGGGAGCTGCTGGAGAAGGTCGATTTGCTGCTGGTTCCGGGTTGGAACAAACCTACGAATATTCTGCCCAACCAGCCCCTGAAAATACACCATTGCAACAGGTTCCGATCTTTAGAGAACCTACGGAAGGCCCTCGAGCTCGTTTCTCACAACGGGGACCTACTCAACAAGCCTTCCCGCAGCCAGCGTTACACAATCCGCCGTCCATTCAGGCAGCTTCCGAACAGCCTGGGGGGCAGGCAGAGATGGTGCCGCTGCCACATCCTATCATATATCCACGGTAATCGAAAATGCAATTCATAGGATATATGACGATCGGAAAAGCAAGGATTCGATCAAGCAGTTCTTGAAAAAATTAAGGAGCGCATAAATTAGATGCCAAGTTCGTGTACCAGAGGACCAGGTGGTGAATGTGGTAATAAATAACATGGCGCACCAACTGCGTGACAGCCTGGCTCTTCAGGAATGTCACGACTTTCGGCAGCCGATGTCCAAAGCTGTGAAGGCCGAGCAGCCATTCAAAGAAGCTCAAATGGCCCGAAATCAAAAGTTTCGGAGTGGTTATCATTGCGTGTTTGCCCAAGAAGGGGTTTCCGAGGTCGACGAGGAGCAAGATGAGACCTTCTTGGCTGAAATTTCGTAGGGGAAGGCATATACATGCCCGACTCTTTAGCCGTCTCGACGGAATGAGGTGAATCTGAAAGTATCTTACTCATTCGACATCGCGAAGACGGAACAGATTTTTGACTACTTGCTGAAAGATAACCAGCTCCGCCTTAAAGAAGGTCACAAAATGCCGATCGAAGAGGAGCTGAATGGAAAATTATTTTGTATGTGGCATGGAATATATGACCATCAGATCAGGAACTGCATTTCTTTCCGAAATACAGTCCAGAAAGCCATCAAAGAAGGCCGCCTCAAGCTGGCCAAAAAATTTGACATGAAAATAGACACGGAGCCGTTCGCCACGCCGATAAACGTTGTCGAAATACGTCCAGCCAGGTCCAAAAAGACAAATTCGGGGTTTGGAGCAGATGGTAGGAGAACAGCCCCTAAAAAACCAGTGTTAGAAAGGCTTGGAAGGTCGATCAAACCTCCGAGAAGAAGTTCGGTGTGGGACAAACTTTCCTCCACGAATACGATCACGGAAGTAAGCTTTGAAAAGGGAGGCGAGTTTTGGCGAGTAACGTCCGTAGATCAGGTGGTAATCACACCCCATCAAACCTGCCATCCATGGAAGGCTCCAGACGACGAGAGCTAGACAAGGAATCGGAAGGAGCAGGTGATGCGACCTCCTACTAGGACTCAAAAAAGGAGGATGCAGCGACAACGCTTGGCCGCTCGCCTTTCCCGAGAGAATCAGGTTGGGGGGCAGCAGGCTGATGACCACGAAGGTCAGGCCAGAGGGCAGCAGGCCCAGGGCTCAAAAGGAGCTATCGCTGGAAGGCCGAAGCTTGGTCGGAAGGACCTTCGTCACCAGCTTCAGGCCCGAAAGGAATGGAGACCAAAAAGAGTTCTTGCAAGGGTTGAACACCCTAATGAACCTTACTTTACTGTGACACTCGGGAAAGACCAGATTTCGGAAGGTGAGCCGATGATCGATGCCCTTGATTGCGATGAAGCGGCGGAGGCTAGCTTGGACATTATTGCCTCCGACCAGGACCTCGAACGAGCTTCGTACTGTGAAGAAGATCTCAAGGTCAATATAATAGGGATGCTACCTCGGGAATTCGAAGCCCCTCAAGTTCAACACGATTATCTTCAGATGGATGTGATGTTGGAAGGAGCTGGTTTACTATATTGGGTAGAGCAAGATTCCAACATTCCGAAAGAGAGTCCAGAACCAGTAATTTTTCAGAAGTTGGCGGACGAAAATACGCGCCACTTGAAACCCTTATTCCTCATGGTGCATCTTGATGGGTGGACGATCAGCAAGGTTCTGATAGATAGGGAGCTTCCGTCAAACTGATGACTCTATCCACTTTGGGAAAAATTAAGAAAAAACAGAAATGATTTCGTCTGGACAACCATGCGAACGACCGACTTCATCGGAAATGCGTATACGACAGCAGATGTGTTGGTGGAGAAAGTGACGGTTGAAACAACGACGAACCAAATGGCTTATTTCATCAATGAGGGAAAGCTAACCTATTCAGCCATTATCGGGAGGGATTGGATCCACACTACCCAGTGCGTCCCTTCAACATTGCACCAAAAAATTATGTTTTGGAACGGAGACCAAGTCAAGACGGTAGAGGCCAAGGCTGATCCAGCTATGGAGGTGCATTTCGCAGAGGCTGTTTATTTTTCCCTCGATGTATACCCGCTGTCCATCATGCCGAAGGATGCTGGAATGGGGAAAAATGGCAATCTAACCATGAAGGGGTTCGAAATAAAATTCGAGGCCGACGCACGGCCTAATAACTCGGGTATTTATCATGTCTGACATCCTAATTTTACATGATTTGGAGATGAGAGCAGACAGGTCCGACTGTACATTTATATGGGCTAGAAATCATGCCGCTCAACCTCTTGACGTGCAGATAGGGATATCCTCTCAGCCGCCTAATTACGATCAAGACGAAGAGGATGTTCATTCGCCAATTCGAAGAGCTGCTCCACCTTTCGAAGCGCATGACCCATTAGAGGATATTAACTTGGGGGATGAGGCAACCCCTCGGGCGACACGGGTCAGCGCCTTGCTGAATGTCGAGAGAAAATAACGAATGATTGCTTTGATCTGAAAATTCAAAGATTGCTTCGCATGGGATTACCATGAGATGCCGGGGTTATCAAGGAACATAGTTGAGCATCGATAAACAGCCCCTTAGGCGTTTCAACCCGGAAGTATTGTCGAAAGTGAAAGAGGAGGTCGAAAAACTCCTTAAAGCTAACTTTATTGAAACATGCAGGTACCCGGAGTGGATTTCCAACATTGTTCAAGTAATGAAGAAAAAAAAAGATCCAGCTTTCTGTTGCCCCGGAGAAATCGGAATCTTCAAATTGATAATAATGCCCGTCGGCCTAAAAAATACCAAAGTGACCTACCAAAGGGCGATGAACGCAATTTCTCACGACCTGATCAGTGCTTGCATGGAGATATACATAGACGACGTGGTCATGAAGTCCTGAGCCTTCGATCACCACATACTGGACCTTCGGAAGACCTTTACGCGGATGAGACTGCATGACCTCAAGATGAACCTGACGAAGTGCGCTTTCGGAGTATAAACAGGGAATTTCTTTGGTTTTTGGTCCATCAAAGAGGGGTAGAAGTTGAAAAAAGAATGAGGCCAAGGCTGTGCAGGACCTTGGGCCCCCTCGCAACATCAACGAGTTGTAAAACTTGATGGGGAAGGTCAATTAATTGAGAAGATTCATCGCCAACGTAGCTAGGAGAATGAGGGCCTTCTCAGTGCCGTTGTGTAGGAATAAAGACGTGTTCAAGTGGAGAACAACCCAACAAGAAGCCCTGGATCAGATTAAGCAGGCGTTAGCATCTTCTCTGGTGTTAATGCCGCCAATCAGTAGAAGAGAGCTGAAGCTGTACATAGCCACGATAGGCGATACGACGGGCTGCCTCCTTGCCCAGGACGATGATGAAGTAATATGCAAAGTCGACCTTCTTCGCTATTTATTAAACAGGCCAGTCCTCTGAGGCTGTTTAGTTAATGAGTGCTTAAATTAGCATTGTTCGCATTAATGGGAAACCGAGGCGACGAACAAAATTTTGATTTTCATTATCAAGAAAGCGCTGGAGGACAACCCGAAAGGCTGGAATGATACTTTGGAAGAGGCTTTATAGACATAGCGGAATGTCAAATCCTCCGTAATCGGAAGCACTCATTATAGGCTACCTACAACCATGACTTTGTGCTTCTGTTGGAGATTACAGTGTCTTCTTTCCGGATCTTGAAGATGAACCAGCTGTCCATGGGATAGCAGGATCAAACCCTACTCTAAGAGCTTGATATTTTGCCCGAAAAGAGACTGCAGTCACTTGAATGCACTCGACATTAAAAGAAGAAGACCATATCGACCTTCCAGAAGTGTGTGAGGTCCCAAACTTTTCGGGAAGGTGACATGGTCTAGAAGGCCGTCATCCCGGAAGGCCCCAAAGATGCGAAGTTGGGGAGATGGTCTCCCACATGGGAAGGACCATTTATAGTATCGGCTAAGTTATCCAATGTCGTGTATAGGTTGATGGAACCCAAAGGGGAGGAGTTGACGACGTTTATTAATGGAAAACATCTTAAAGATTTTATCCTTCTCTTTGGGAGTTGGAAAGAAGACACGATCAGGCTATAGTTAATGATGACCTTCCAGGAAAAAAAAAAAAAAAAAAAGTGGTCGGACAGGCTGAGGAAGCATGGAAATATTCAGGTATTTGACAAAATCATCAGGACCACGAGTTTAGTCTTGTCCAAATGATTTTGTGGGGGGTATTTGTACACATTCAAAATTAATTGGACGGGCTCAACACAAGTGCAGCCCAAATCCTCGAAGTTCGCAGCCCAACTGAAGGTCCAGATCAGCGAGTGGGCCTACGGACCTGACTAGCCCAAGGACCCAGCCGGCCTGGTGTATTTGAAGCAGTCAACGGATAAAATGAAGGTGGTTGGAATTGTTGAGAATAATTATGCATAATATCTTATCCAAACATGATTCAAAATAAACAAATAAATAGAGGATATCAGAACATAAAAGGACGGCCATTCATTATCAATCTTCTTTTTTTTTCTATTCCAATTTCTTTTTTCAGCTTTGTTCTTGTTTTTATTAGTCTTAATTTTTCTTTTTTTTTTTTTCTATTCCAATTTCTTTTTTCAGCTTTGTTCTTATTTTTATTAGTCTTAATTTTTCTTTTTTTTTTTCTATTCCAATTTCTTTTTTCAGCTTTGTTCTTGTTTTTATTAGTCTTGATTTTACCTTCCTTTAACTGTAATTATTTGGATATCGCGATATACCCCGGGATCCTTTCTTGAAGAGGTCGGGAACCCTTCGAACAAATCAATTATGACAGACTTTTTCGATTAAGCTGTCGGTGTTGATTTTTTGACGACTCGGTTGTTTTTACCATATATATATATATTTAAATCAAATTTGTTCGAGAAATCAAAATTTTCATTTAATTGTGTTGGATTTAGAGGGTTTGACAATATCAAAATCTCTCTCTAATTTTAACTAGTAGTATTAATTTAATACCGATTCCTACTATGTATGCAGATATGTATTGAAATGTGCTAATTAATATTCCTCCCAACCGGTCCATATTTGAAACCCCCCAAGAATAAGATGACCTGTGGATGGGCCATGCCTATACATACATAGATATAGATATAGACATATATACGTACAGTTGCTGTCCTCTTCGTTTCACTTTCTACATCTCTGTTTCTCTCTCTTCGCCCAGAGAAAGAAATCAAACAAAATCAAAGGAGATCACCCAGAATCAAGGGCGACTTAGATTGGACATGAAACTGCATCGAATTTAGTTTATTTCTGGCTTTGCCTTTTTCCCCATATTCTTTTCCGAAACCCTGATTTCTCCGATACTGTTGAAGCCCGATCTGATTTGCTTCCGGCGGTTTGATTCGGGTGGAGGGATTTTTATCTCTCAAGCAAAAATTCGAGTTTTGCGCTGCCACTTGAATTGAGGTAACGTGTTTTTTTCTCCAGTTTACGAAATTTCTTATTTGATACTGCTTAGGGCATATGAATGACGATTTAAGCTTGTTCGTTTGGAAGTACTGCAGTCTTTTTGGGGCCTTACTAATGTAATTCTCCGTCAATGTTGTTTTGCTTTAAGTTGTTTTGGGACTTTTAGGCACTTAATTTATTAATTATAGACCTTCAAATCTTCGAGAAATATTAAGATGGGATCTTTGTCAACATCAAATTACAACCGGAGACAGAGACGGTTATGCATATGCTTGAATTCGATTAAGGTTTATGGTGTCAAACTATAGGAAATCTGCGTATGTTTAGAACAATTATTTGTTGGGTTAGCAAAAACGTAGGACAACCATTTCTAGGAGAACAGTTAAAGTGGAACCTCTAGATATAGACACCTGAAACTAACTTGAATTTAGGTATTTCAAAAGGGTGTATATTTGCAATTAGGATACATCTCTATAAATGAGTAGTTTCATTTATATTTTTTGTGCTTTTGAAAAAATTATGATTTAAGTGAAGACTTTATGTGCTATCTGAGAGAATGCAGTTTTCTTGATTGGTGGGTTTGCTTTCTAATGCCTTTCTTTGTCTTGAGTAAAAGTTATTCCTTCCTTTATTCTGTCATGCTTTTCACTTAAACATTTTGTGCAACTTTCTTACATCCAGTTATAAAGTCTGATTTACCCTGATTCGAGGTGCTGCCAGTTCTTAGTAATCTGCTTTTATTGTTGGTTCATCCTGTTTGTGCTCTCTTGCCGCTGCATTCTGTGTAATCGATCTCTTTTGTAAGTTTCAGTTTCAGTTTCATTATCTATTTTATTTTCTTTCAAATATTTCGCTATGTGCCTATGGTGAGAAAGAGAATTACATCGAGGGGGTATTTTTATTGCTAAAATCCCTGAGGGGCCCCAGCCTGGCCTGGAGATCACCATTCCTATGTCTAAGAAAGAGTGTTGTAATGTTTGATTATTGGAATGAAGTACTGCTACTTGCATTTCCTTGTGACGTAGAGGAGTTCTGGTTCTCACATTTATTTGTTGTGGTTTCACTGCATATTTGATATTTATTTCTGAAGCACTCTTGCTCTATTGAATATGCGTTCATATTTTAGTTTGTTTTCCTTTCATTCAGTGGTCTTGAAGGAGGTTTCTCAGTTTGCATTCATTGGCTAGCAGAATTTTGGATGATTAAATAAGCTTTTCTATTGTACATAGCACAACTTCCTATCAACTATCTACTCCTGAGGCATGTCGGCTGTTGATGTATCAAAATATGAACATAGTCCTGTCCATAAGGCCATAATATTGAAGGACTATACTGGCCTCAGGAGAATCATATCTGGCCTTCCTCGACTTTGTGATCCATCTGAGATCCATTCAGAATCAGTATCACTTGATGAAGAGGCTAAGGCTGATGCAATATCTGCTGCAATTGATCGTCGAGATGTTCCTAACCGAGATACTCCCCTTCATTTGGCTGTTAAATTTGGTGATGAGACAGCGGCAGAGATGCTCATGCTCGCCGGAGCAGATTGGAGCTTGCAGAATGAACAGGGTTGGAGTGCATTACAGGAAGCAATATGTAGTAGGGAAGAAGGAATTGCGAAGATTATAGTTAGGCATTATCAACCTGTTGCTTGGGCTAAATGGTGCAGAAGACTGCCTCGGTTAATTGGGACAATGAGAAGGATGAGAGATTTTTATATGGAGATAACTTTTCATTTTGAGAGCTCAGTCATCCCTTTCATTTCAAGAATTGCACCATCCGACACTTACAAAATCTGGAAGAGAGGTTCTAATTTGAGGGCAGATATGACTTTGGCTGGTTTTGATGGTTTTAGAATACAACGTTCAGACCAGAGCATACTGTTCCTTGGCGATGGATCTGAGGATGGTCAAGTTCCCCCAGGATCCCTTTGCATGATTTCACACAAGGATAAGGAGATAATGAATGCATTAGATGGTGCGGGTGCACCAGCATCGGAGGCAGAAGTTCAGCAAGAAGTTACTGCAATGTCTCAGACCAATATATTCAGGCCTGGCATTGATGTAACTCAGGCAGTTCTTTTACCTCAAACTACATGGAGAAGACAGGAGAAGACAGAAATGGTGGGTCCTTGGAAGGCTAAAGTTTATGATATGCATAATGTGGTCGTCAGCATTAAATCAAGGAGAGTCCCTGGGGCTATGACGGATGATGAACTCTTTAATTCTTGCAATGAAAATGAAACGGACAATGAGCTTGAAAATATTCTGACTGAGGAAGAGCGGAAGCAACTTGAGGTTGCTCTTAAAATGGATTCATCAGATGCAAGCAATGAAAATGATGATGTCGGTATTACACATCGTCATAGTTGTTATGACCAAAGGGATGTGCCCATTGAGAGTGTAAACGGTTGTAGGAATGGAGGACTTAAGCAGGAAAAGAAAGGATGGTTCAATAGTTGGAGGAGACGGGAAAGTAAACCAGAAAATGATAAAAAGATTGCTCCTCCTAGAAGTTCATTGTGTGTGGATGAAAAAGTAAGCGATCTGCTTCAGGACGCCTCCAGTAGTCCGAATAATAAACCAGGACGGCACTCCGTGGAGGTGGTTGGGAAACAGGATGGGCATTGGAGAGGAAGAGATGCTAAAGCTTCTTCATCATCAAATGCTGAGAGTGGAAATAGGCGGAAAGATGGAAATAGGGAAAAGGAGAACGAGTATAAGAAAGGGCTGAGGCCTATCCTTTGGCTTTCGCCAGATTTTCCTTTACGAACTGAAGAACTCCTTCCATTGCTTGACATTTTAGCAAATAAAGTTAAAGCTGTGCGTCGATTAAGGGAGCTATTTACTACAAAGTTACCCAAAGGAACCTTCCCTGTCAAGGTGTTCTTCTATTACTGGTGCTTTACTTAATAGATTCCATGCTTTTTATTGGACTCTTATCTTGAAATTTTTGTGTTGCCATTATTCACTTTCATAGAATCATTTTGCAATACCATATTTAAAATCTGTAATCAATCAGCATGATGAGAAGAATCAGATAAAATATTGTGGTTTATTGCAACCATTTCACTTATTCAAAGCGTTAAAGTCTTTAGATTACATTTTTCTAATTGAACTTCACAGGATCCCTATGATAACTTGTGGCAAACGTTTGATGTATAATTTTCATCTGTATTTCAATAAATGCTGATGGTCTTTTTTCTGTTAACGTGTACGGGTAGCTCAATCTCTTTTCTTCTTGTTATATTTGGTACATTGTTGTCATCACAACTTTCTATTCACTGTGCTTATGTATTAGTATCAGAGACTTTGACATTTGCAAGTACAGGAAGAAAAGTCTTGATTGCACGTAGAATTAATTTGCCTAGAGGACTCTGCTTAAAATGTTATGAAGCCTTTGGGTTGCATGAAATATAATGATTGTTAAAATTTCTTTTTTGATGTGTTTTACCTGTCTCAACTTTTATCTAGATTCCATCTTTGTTGTTGTGTAGAAGTTGTAATCTATGGAATATAGCTGTCATGAGCTGATGTGTGATATGTCCACTGTTATCATCATGAGCTGAAGTGTGAATGAACTTTATTGTCTGCCAGCCATACATCATGGGCCCATATTGAAACAATATTGATCCTATGGCCTGCTTATGAAGAAAAGATGAGCGGAAATGATTGTGTTGATATTTTGAAGCATAATTTCCAAAGTCCAGTTTACCTAGCATCAAATAATATAATCCTAGTTTTACGAATCGGCTATTCAGTTCTTGGGTGGTAGCAGAATGTATTAGCTAGCTTTTCACACACTAGTAGTCTTGACATAAATTTCTTATTATCCTTTACAATACGATGGCTTATGTAATTCTGTTTCTTTTTTCTCCTGATATGCTTGATTCCCTGGAATGCTTTCTACAACTAATAAGGGTGCCTTTCAGGTTGCTATTCCAGTGGTTCCCACTATTCGAGTGATTGTTACATTTACAAAATTTGAAGAGCTTCAGCCACTGGACGAGTTCTCCACGCCCCCCTCAAGTCCATCTGCTGTGGACAAAGAGAGCACTGTTATGATGCAGTCGTCAAGTTCATCTTGGTTCCAGTGGATAAAAGCCCCCTATCAACGCCAGAGTTCAGCTGCAGCTTCCTCCAGCAGCAGGATTGATAATATTCAAGATCCATTTGCAATTCCTTCTGATTATTCATGGATTACTGCTGAAGCTAAGAAAAAGAAAATGCAGGAAAAGAGCAAATCTAAGAAATTGAAGAACCCAAAGTAAGTATTGGGAAAATATGCGCATGTGTATTGTTGTTCTCTACTTCATATGAATTAGTGAGCGAGCTAGCGAGCTGCTGTCAACTTCCAAAGACTAGCAGCGGAAGCAGCAGCAGCAGTTTATTTGAGATAAGAACATTATTGAGAGAGGGAGGGGGTAAAAATAGTTTGAAAAAAATTCTATGCTGGTATATCAATCAATCAATCATTGTGGGGGGTTCATAGAACAATGGATTGGTAAAATGTTATATTTTTGTAACCATTGCAAGTTTGACCTGTGTTTTACATGGAATGACTATGACTTGATTCTAAGTTGCTTGTCTGTTGGTGGTGGTGTTTTTGGCTTTCTTTAACTCCTAGCTGTATCTGGTCTTGTATCTAAGTATGAATGTGTATATTCGTTAAACTAGTGTTAGTGTGGTCGAGTCAGAGTGTCGTACGTATCTGTTGAAATGGTATATTGCAATTCAACAAGGCCAGCAGCTGTTTCTTGTGTATAGTATAGTATAGTATAGTATAGTATAGTTGACTATTGAATGAATACGTCGTGTATGATGTGGTGCTTTTGGTTTCTGTTTTCGATTTGGTCTCGGTGCACCATAACCTTAGCCTTGCTGGTTGAGTTGGGTTGGGTTGGCTTGGCTTGGCAGCCCAATACGCTGTTTGTAATTGTACAAGTATTGGTTGGATAAAGGTAAGTTGTATTCTGTTAACGCTAAGTCTAAGAGCATGGATGGGATGGGATGGGGGACTTCTATGGGCAACCATGGTCATATCATAAAAAGCATCTAAATTAAAGCATGTCCAAAGTGACCAAGTAAAATTACAAGTACATAGTGGCTTTAAATTGAAAAAAAATAAAAATTGCTCTTGTATAAAATATACTATTTTATTTGTTAAAAATGTACAAGAGAGAATCGACTTTTATATTCCTATTTTTTCATTCCAAGACTTTTTGGCCAAAATGCCTTCCCCTGCTATTTGTAGAATGTCATAAATGTTTATCACACACGCAAAGATCATCTCCAATCTATAACTTTATTTTTGCAGTTTTTTCTTCATTTCTGCAGAATTTAAAAATATTCTCTTTATATTTTATTTTACATAATTTTTAAAATTACAAATAAAATTTAATATTTTATTATTTTTATACATTTAAGTTATAATAATATTTTTAATCAATTAATTATAAATTTTAATAATTATTAAATAAATAAATAAATAATTTACTATAAATATTAATTACAAAATTATAATAAAAAATAATAAAATTAAAAGTAACAAATAAAATTAAATAAAATATATAAAATATAAGCTTAAAACAAAATAAAAAAAGAATAAAATAAATAAAATATAAAAATATAAACAAAATAAAAAAAATAATATAATTTTTTATTTTGTTGATGATATTTAAAAAATTAAAAATTAAATAAATATAAAAAAAATAGATAACAACATAAATAAATAGATAATATTAAAACAAAATAGATAACTATATAAATAAATAGATAACTTTATAAAATAAATAAAAAATTATATTAAAAAAAAAAAGAAAATTCCAGCGGGTGAATTCTGCAAAACTATAGGGTGGGTTGAAATAGTTTTTTTCTTCCCACCCTGCAAAAATAGATCTTTTGTTTGGTGCTTATATTATTTTATTTGTTAAAAACATAAATGTTTGTTTAGGTTACCTTTGAGGAGTTTTGGCTTTTACTTCATAAAAAAACAGTTTGTAATAATTTTCAGTTAAAATTATTATTTTATATTTAATGATAATCATATATATATATCTATATTTGAATTCAGTTTTAGACCACCAGAATGAAAAGCTTGAATTTCTAGCATTTTTGAATATTTTTTAAAAAAATTTGATTGGTTAAAATATTTAATTGACTATACTGTTTAATTTATAAGAATTTTATTTTAATATTAATTATAAATAAAAAAACTCTCTCCCAAACCTTAATTTATTCTCACAACCGCCGCCGTCCATCCCAAAACTCTCTTTCTTTTCCGTCTTTTATCTCCAGATTTTGCCATCCGGTCGCAGCTAAACCGTACTCCAAAGTCTCAGCACTGCCCCCATTCAAAACACTACTAAGATTTATTTACATTTTATCTCTTTGTTCTTTTTTTATATTTATTTTTTATTCTCTCCAACATATATTTGCAGATCCGCAGGCGCTCCACCGCCATCGATCCATATCTCGCTGCATGCCACTCCACTTATCACGGTTTTGAAGCTCTATCGCTGTTGCTTGATGGAATTACGGGTAAATTTTTTTTTGTTTTTTTGTTTTTTAATCTTAATCTATTTTCACACATATAAAATAATTGAGTTTGTACGAATTTTTTTTGCTGTTCTCATTCTTTGTTTTTAAGATTTGTTTTTTGTTATTCTCTTTATTTCTTTCTTTTTTAATGTAGATCTACTTCCACACATGTAAAAAAAAGTGAGTTTATACAATATTTATTTGTTCTTCTCATTCTTTGTTTTTCTTTATTTATTTCTTTGAGCCTTTGTCTGGCAGTGCTAAAATGTGCCATTGTCCTTTTTGACCTGAATCTGTGATGTCCAATCCCGTTGTGTTGTGCAGAACCGTAGATGAATGGTGCCTCATTGTTCAATTGTGGATGTACGGGAGAAAGGTATTCTTTTTTTTTTAAATATAAAATTATAATTACAATGTAATTAAAATAGATTGAGTATCAATTTTATGTATATAGCTGTTAGAAAAAAATTAATACCTAAATTATAATATTAACTTATATATTTTTTATATAATTAAATATGTTTATGTTATATAATTTGATTCTAATAATTATATTATCTATTTTGTTATAAATATTTTAATATAGATACAAAAGAGTAAGTAAATTAAATTATGTATTAATTAAACAATATAAATATAAATAAAAATAATGATAAGTTGTTAAAGAAGTTAAAGATTTTTCTATAATTATTATTTTTTCTGAAAAGTTGAACACTTTATTTTTATTTTTAAAAATACAAGTTTCATATTGAAGATGTAGAGTTTTTTCTTTTTTTTTTTTATTAATAATTACTTATTAAAAAGTTCTAATAATTAATTTTAATTCTAATTCATTATAAAGTTGAGAAACTCTAATTCATTTTTATAATAATTTGATTCTAATAATTATATTGTCTATTTTGTTATAAATATTTTAATATAGATACAAAAAAGTAAAAAAAAACTAAATTATGTATTAATTAAACAATACATTATAAATATAAATAAGAATAATGATAAATTGTTAAAGAAGATATATGTTTTTCTATAATCATTACTGAACACTTTATTTTTATTTTTAAAATACAAGTCTCATGTTGAAGATGCAGAGGTTTTTTTTTAATATAATAATTACTTATTGAAAAGTTATAATAATTATTTTTTATAATTTTTTAAATACTAGGGGTTGCAGAGATTTTCTTTGCATTTAATATTATTTAAACATCTCATTTTAACTTTTCACTTTCATTTTTGTTTTCGTATTTCTGCCTTTATCTTCTATGCTTCTGCATTATCTTCTTTCTACTAAAAAATTTCTAATTCTTACGATACTTTTCTACATCTCACCATGTCATACAATTCTTACATAACATCAGACACTTCTCTTATTCTCTTATCTAAAATCATCCTCTACACAGTGTTCCTACATTATTTCACCTTTCAAAGGTTTACATTTATAATTATATTAGTGTTTTGATTATTAGACTATTTAGACAATAATCATAGTATTTAATTTTGTTCTTATGAAGTATTTCTTTGCATTCAATATTATTTAAACATCTCATTTTAATTTTTCACTTTCATTTATGTTTTCATGCTTCTGTCTTTATCTTCTCTTCTTCTGCATTCTCTTATTTTTACTAAAAAAAACTATAATTCTCACATACTTTTCTTTCATACTTGAACGACACTACATCTCACCATGTCATACAGTTCTTAACATAACATCAGACACTTCTTTTCTTCTCTTATTTAAAGATTATCCTCTGCACAGGGTTCTTGCACAATCAATTGTTAATATTTTTGAATATTTTTTTAGTTGGTTTACTTTATATTTTATTTTGACATTTTATGTTTAATATTTTTATTTTCTCAGGTAGCACTTGACTATCACGTAGAGGCGTGAACATAATTTCACCTTTCAAGGTTTACATTTATGATTATATTAGTGTTCGATTATTGGATTATTTGGACAATAATCACAGTCCTTAATTTTGTTCATATGAAGTATTTATGATTACTTAATTTTTGCAGGTTGTAGTGACATTTGAGATTTGAAGAATACTGTTTAAGCCGAACATTATTTTTGTACCGAACATTTTTTGTTATTATTTTTTATTTTAATATTTTTACGATTTTGCAATTATTTATATTTATATATTCTCTTGATCAGTGGATGAATAAGTGCAATCGGCATTAATCATAAATGCACGATGTTTGAAAATAGTTTTTTTTTTTTTTTTTTTTCCTTTCGTAAAATATATTTATGGTTTTACATTTGTTATTGGCATCATCATCTTCTGATGTTGGCAATATTTGTGCTTTTGAAAGTGGTGGGTATGCTATTATAAAATTAGTTGATTTTTTTTTTTTTTAATGAATAATGTCACTTACAAATATGAGATATATATATTTTTGGTACCCACTTATGCACAATAATATAATATAGTCAAATAGTCTTATTTTTATTGCTTTTGCCTAATATATTTATACATTTTTTTTAGTTCACCGAACTAAAAAGATAAATAAATAAATGTTAATATATATTTATTTTATTCATATGAAAATTATGACAAAATTTATTTTTGTGATTATTTTTTATTAAAATTTATTCAACGTATACTATTTGTATAAGATATTTCTTAACATATATGTACTATTAAAAATAAATATTAAGTCTTATTCTATATTTGATTTTAAAATAAATATCAACTGTATAAATTGACCTGAATTTATGTTTATTCATTAACATTCATTAAAACAAAATTTTATTAATTAAATCAAACACTAAAATGTAAGAGAATGTGAGTGGATAAATATTATAAATTATTACTCTCTTCATTTTATTAATCTAATATTACTTTGATTATTTTAAATAAATTAATTTTTCCTAATATAATTTAGAAAATTCATAATATCAATTTATTTTGTTTTTAATCAAAATATATTTTTATTCATCTTTACAAACTTTTTATTTTTATTTTTAATAGATAGATAATGATCAAGTTTTAAAAAAACTTGCTCGATTAAGATGCCGGAGGCATATGTGAATGAAGCAGTACAATAAGGGAAGAAATCCCGAGCTAAGGGCAGTTATTCAACACATCGAATTGGAATTTCGTTCAACTTGTACTGCTTATAATATTACGAATGAAACTCCGTTCTGCCCTGATCTACCACCAACCAGAAGGGCACAAAGAATGACCCGTGGTTTAAATTGGCAACCACAAAATCATAGGCAAAATGGTACATACTATATTCGAAATTAACATTGTTTATTTTTTATTTATTTTTATTGATATAATAAGAATATATTGTTTAAATTAGTTACATATATTATGCATATTTATAGGTAATTCGGTGAACTTTTGTGACGTCAATGATGGTGAATCAAATGATATGCATGTGATTAATCTCGAAGACGAAGCTATTTAATTTAAGTTATATGTTTTATTTAGATATGATTTTATTTACTAATTATAATCATTACTTTTAAGATGAAGAGATAATATCATCTTCTATTGAAGTGCATCATCAAGAAGAAAATGCAAATGACGTGATAGCAAATACAAATCAAGGTAATAATATATTACATGTATTTATTATTTTAGATGCAATTATATAGTTTATTGAACTTACAATTTACAGTTCATTTTATTGGGAGAAGATTAAATACGATTTATATTTTTTTATTTTATTTACATTATTGCTTTAAAAATATTTTTTAATTGATATAAGAATATATTGTTCAAATTAGTCACATATATTATTATTTTTATAGGTGATTCAACTAACTTTCGTGAAGTTAATGATAGTGAATCAAATGATATACATATGATTGATCATGATCATGAACGTATTTAATTTAAATTATATATTCAATTTACATATAATTTTTATTTTATTAATTATAATTATTATTTTTTAAGATGAAGAAGTAATCCCGTCGTCTATTGAAGAGCATCGAGAAGAAGAAAATGCAAATGACATGATAGTAAATATAAATCAAGGTAGTACTATATTAAATTTATTTACTGTCTGTATTCAAATACATTTAATTAAAAATTTTATTTACGAATTGATAAATTATTAAGTTTATTAAGAGTAGTTTAAATTTGGGTATTTCAATATTATATTAATTTATATCCAATCTTTTAGATATGCAACTATTCGGTCAGCTTATGTCTAATTTATACACTTAAAATAAATAATTTATATGACAATATATATTGTGTAATTTTTTTCATACATTTTATATATTTATAGGCATGAATTTTCATGGCATCGGTAATGAAGGATTAGATACTGTGCACATGAATAGCCATTGAGATAGAGGTACTATAAAAAAAAAAAAAAATTGTTAAATATTTTAACAACATAAAAGTCATATTTTACTATGATTATAGTATGTTTTATTAATTTTTTACATTTTATATATTTATAGGCATGAATTTTCATGGCATCGGTAATGAAGGATCATATACTGTGCATATGAATAGCCATGGAGATAGAGGTATTATAAAAAAAAATGTTAAATGTTTTAACAACATATAACTCATATTTTACTATGATTATAGTATATTTTACTAATTTTTTACGATATACATTATGCATCAATTATACTTAATAATTAGTATGTGTACTATTGTTCTTAGATTGAGTGATTGTACCAGTTTCTACTGAATACAATCGATAGGAAAATGCAAATTCAGCCATCGTGAATAGTATTATCGAACAAGATAATAATATATCTAATTTATTTATTATTTACAATGAATTTATATTTTTATTTAAATAAGTATCCATAATACTTATCATTAATATATAAACTTACTTGAATCTTGTGCTATGCACGGTAAAATTATATTAACTTTATTGTAATATAATTATATATATATCTTAGTTTGTAATTTTTTTTTTGCATTTCTTTTTGTGGTTGGAGGAAAAAGTCGTTCGTAGTTTGAAACAAAGTCCTAAGTTTGGTTTGTGTTGCCAAAGTGGAAAGGTGAATTTGCCTTTGCTGCCAAATCCTCCTGAGTATCTAGATGGCTTATTAAAAGATCGTAGTTTTATGGAAAATATCAGATCATTCAATTCGATCTTTAGTTTCACATCAATGGGTGGAAAAATTGATAGATCAGTTCAGGATGGGAGAGGACCATTCTGTTATAGAATTTCTGGAGAAAATTTTCACCTAATTGGATCATTGATTCCCTCTGGAGGAGAGCATAATAAATTTGTCCAACTGTACATTTGTGACACTGAGAACGAAGTGCGCAATCGACTATCTGTCTTAGGAAGAGATAGGTGTACTCCCGAAATTTCTTCTATAGTTGAGGGATTAAAACTTATGTTGGATGATGTGAACCCTTACGTTCAAATTTTCCGTTCAGCGAGGGATGCATTGCAACATGATAGTGGAGTTGATTTACATGTACGGATTCTGAATAGTAGAAGTAATCGACAGTACACAATGCCTTCTACGAATGAGATTGCCGCGCTGATTATTGGTCAAGATAGAAATACTGTACAAAGTCGCGACATCATTGTCTGCAAAACACATGGATATCTAAAGCGAATTAGTGAGGCTCATCCTTCCTATATTCCATTACAATACCCATTACTTTTTCCATATGGGAGTGACGGGTGGAGAATTGGGATTCCTTACAATGTGGAGTTACAACATAGAAGAATAAAAAATGTTTAAATGCGAGAATTTTGGGCATTTCGCTTCCAACACAGGTCAACAGAAAGCACAACTCATTTACGATGAAGAGGTTTGTTTCAACAACTTGCAGTGGATTGTTATGCAGCAATTGAACAACAACGTTTGAATTACATAAAGACCCATCAGGTTGAGTTGCGGGCGGATTTATATCAAGGTCTCGCTGATGCCATAGTTGAGGGGGATATCGATGCTAGTGCGGTGGGAATGAGGATTATTCTACCATCTTCATTTACTGGAGGTCCACGAAATATGTTGAAACATTATCATGATGCATTGGCAATATGTAGAGCGATTGGACCTCCAAATTTTTTCATTACGTTCACATGCAATCCAACGTGGCTAGAAATTTCCAGAGAATTATCAAAACTTCCAAATCAACGTACTGAAGATCGTCCTGATCTACTGGCAAGAGTATTCAGGATGAAACATAAAGAAATGTTGAAGCTCTTGACTGATAAAATATTCTTTGGCCAAGCAATTGGAGGTATACTATAATGTAACTTATTATTTTGAAAATAATTTCAATATCTACAATATAACTACTTATTCATATTTATCTACGATAGATGTTCATGTTATTGAGTTTCAAAAACAAGGATTGCCTCACTCGCATATTACGTTGTCTCTTCAAGAGGGATTTAAACCAATCACTCCCGAAGAAATTGATATGTACATTTGTGCCGAAATTCCTGATAAGAATGTTGATCCACTTGCCTATAATATTGTTACAAGACAAATGGTTCATGGACCATGTGGAGTATATAACCCCAACGTTCCGTGTATGGTCGATGGAAAGTGTAGTAAACACTATCCAAAGAAGTTTTACTCACATACTACGATAGATGAAAATGGATTTGTTTCGTATAGACGTAGATGTGATTCTTCAAAGACATTTTTTGTAAATGGTATCGAATTGGACAATCATTGGATTGTTCCATACAATCGAGACCTGCTTGTGTTGTTCAATGCTCACATCAACGTAGAGAAGTGCGCATCTCCAAAATTAATGAAGTACATGTACAAATACATGTGTAAGGGGACAGATCGGGCAATTATTTCTCTTCAAAATAATGTTGAAGATTCAACGAACAATGATCAGAGACGCAACATAATTGATGAAATCAAACAATACTTAGAATGTCGTTATGTATCGGCCATTGAAGCTTGTTGGAGAATTTATGAGTTTGAAC